CTCTTGTATAGTACGGCTACTGAAATATGAGCTTTGACTTGTAGGAAATTCAACAACAGAGGGCAGCACAGAAGCTCACATTTGCTTTCAATCAGATGAAGCCCAAATCTATTCCATACTCTCCAAGGTAAGTGTGTTTAAGCTTTCCTTGCATTACACATTGGTGACTTAGGGTGCCTAGAAAGTTGTGAACACATGGCTCAATACATTATGTCCTTATTTGTGAGTAGATGTCTCAGAGCATTGTTAGAAATGTGTAAACTGCAGTTAGCCTTGGTTGTACACTTTTGTACTGATTCTAAGTTAGTATCATAATATGAATGACTTTCTATAGTAGTTTCAAAACCTGTAAATGACTTGTAAATCAATTTAAAAAATGATATATTTTTCTCCTGTTTTAGAAACATATTCATTAACTTTTTTTTACCTAGATTCCTGGAAGTTTTCTTGTTATATTGCCACTCTGCGGGTCAGTGGTTTGCGGTTGAAGAGTGCATGACTGGAGAGTTTAGAAAATATAACAACAACAATGGTGATGAAATAATTCCAACTAACATGCTAGAGGAGGTTATGCTAGCCTTCAGCCATTGGACTTACGAGTATACACGAGGGGAATTGTTGGTGCTTGATCTGCAAGGTAACGTCCTGATTTTGAAATTGTGTTTGGGCCCAAGATAAGGTTTGTAGCATCTAATAATAATGCATATACCCATAATAAATAATAAGCGTTATTAATGCATCTTGATCTAGGTAATTGGAATCAATGGTGGGCTTAAAATGTTAATATTTATTATTTTCTAATGATTTGCACCACCTGAATTTTATCAGATATTCTGGCTGTGAGCAATTCTGCATGGGAAATTTCTCTTTCGTTTAAAAAAGGTTTAAAAAGAAAAAAAGTGAAGAGCTATTGGCATATACAAAAATAGCAAAGTCTTTGTTTAGAAGCGATTTGTGTTATGGCAAAAGTTTCCTTTTATCATTTTGATTTCCTCCTCCCTCCTTTCTTGAGGAAACAGAGCCTTCAATATTAGTGCATTTATGTAATATATCAGATTTAACTTTTTCTTCGTGTGCTTTCTGAAGGTGTTGGTGAAAATTTAACAGATCCTTCTGTGATAAAAGCTGGAGAAAAAAGGTAAAAAAAAGAAGGATTTAAAAAAACTTTTATTTTTTTCAATGAACTTGAATTCATACAATCCCTGCTTACATACACTTTATTTTTAAGGTCATATGATATGGTGTTTGGGCCGGCCAATTTAGGAGAGGATGCAATAAAAAACTTCAGAGCTAAGCATCACTGTAACTCCTGTTGCAGGAAACTTAAGCTTCCTGGTAAGAGTTGCTGATATTTTTCTTCTAAGACACTCGTGTCGTATGTTGTATGAGATGCTGTGCCATAACTGTGTCATAATATGAAAATGGGGTAATGAACGAACGGCAGTTTTGTAATTTTAAAACATGACATCTTTAAAAAGATATGTCATTTTAAAATAAAACCCTAAATGGAGAAATTGTGAATGTCTGTGTATTCTGTATCCACATGCACAGTATTTGGGCATTTTGGGAAAGTACACTAGAAAAATCTAGATGTCAGAAGTCACTCTAAAAAAATAAATAAAATTTAAAAAAAAGGTCTTGGATAAAAACGAAAACCAGATTAAGGCGATTGCAAAAGTTTTGAAATGTTGTGCAAAATGGTGGTGGGGGAGTTATGTTATTAAAATGTTTTATACTGAAGAGATCCATTCTGTTAACACTTTTGGTTTTGGATACTTCTGTTACATGGACTAAACTGTGCCCTTCTCAAACCATCAAATTGTTCTTCTGTGTTGGGGTTTAGATTCCAGCAGAACAACATAAGGAAACTTGCAGGATTCCTGCCTGTTTCACACTTCTCTTCCAAGTTGGTTGTCAGAGGAAGAAGGGTTGTTCCCTTTAATTTTGATTTGGGAACTCCTAGTAATATCAAAACAGATTATGGAAAGATCCAAATTCTATTTGCAGAATGACTCAATATTTGCTGTTATATCTATAAATAATATTCTGAAATTTTCATCACTTCTATTTTTAATAGAGCTTCCTTAGGCTTCCCATTGAATGTATAGTAAAAAATATTATTTCTGACAGTGGAGGCATACTGAGGAATTCTTTCTATAAATCCTTAAGCTTACACAATCTGAACCTGGAAGAAAGTATATTTTCTGAAGGGTTTTTATGTTTCAGTGATTCTACTATACTGAAAGTAATCCATATGACTTCATTTCGTTTCTGTAGATCTGAAGAGGAATGATTACACACCTGACAAGATTATCTTTCCTCAGGATGATTCCCCTGAATTGACAATTCAGCCTGGAAGCTGCACCAAAGAATCAGATTCAGCTAATTCTATTCGTCTGATGCTCTAAAATGATGTGACCAAATCAGTGGCTTCATCCAAACTTCATGGAATGTCACAAAGTTGTCACTTATCTTGTCTTCACTTATAAGAAAGATATATCAAAACAAGGATCGTTGGGTTATAAGTGGAATTTTAGGTGGTCCAAATCTGAGGACCTAACAACTTGTGATAACCATCTACAGAGAACAGCTTGGCAGCTGATCATTTTAGAAGGTTGAATAATGACAAGTATTTATGATATGTTTTTAAAGGGGCTTTTTAGCAGAAGGTTTATTTTTAATTTTGCTTTGGTTTAGTGGAGGATTTCCTCTCTGTAATCCTGTGGTGTGCAATATGCCTTCAACCAAAAGGATTTTGGTAGTTGATGTTTTTAAGGTAAAGTGTCTGTTTGGCAGCTGTCTGACTGTCAATCAGCCAAAGACTGAAGGAGACAGCACCTACCTCTGTGATGCCAGAGTACTCTCTGAGCATTTTCAGAAGTGTTTTGCTAACGTTTTCTTGGCAGATGTCTTTTTTAAGTGGACAGATTCAGATGAGGGGTGTGTGTGGGCACACCCATGGGCTGAGGTTGAAGGCAGAAACTTGATCTGTTCTGAGAGAGAGAGCAGGAAAGAGAGAGTCTCCTGAATCAGGATTCAGCTTCAGGGCCGTAAAGCTGTTTTTGTATCGTTTGGGGTTTTTTGTGGACTAGAGCCCTAATTGTGCATAATGTAATTTCTTGTTTTATACATTTCAGTTTTATCAAGTCACCGTCAAGATAGTAAAATGAACAAAGCCATGATAGACTGGTATAATCACATTTAATAGAAGAAATAGTATGTACTGGTCCAAATAAGTTGCCTTGTAAGAACACAAGTTGGAAGTGCTTTTCTTTGTACGTAGTGACTGCTTCAGAAGTTATGCCTTCCAAAGATCTCGTAAAACCAGTATATCAAAACCGAATGTACACATAACTTTTAAATGTATTTAAAATTGTGTAGAAACATCTTTAATGTTATGTTATTTGTGGTACTTATTTAAGAGAGACTAGGGTTGGATTATCATTATGTAAAGTACGGGAGATTGCAATGCACCTTTATGCCAATAAAATGTAATTTAACTGTCCCAAATATTGTTGAATATTCAGCAACAAGAACCTGTTGTCCAACTGAAGTTTCATGCTGCGATTTTTTTTTATTTTTTTTTTTTTTTGTTACATAGGTACTAATTTGTAATTTTTAATTACAAGGGCAGTATAAAGCTCTATAAATTTTTTTATTCAGTAGTGTATCTTATAGATACAGACCTAAGGCACGAACACAATAGCTGTTTAAATGGTGTTTTATGTTTGACGGGGAAAGGTAAAATGTTATAAGGATATAATACTGTATACATTTTGTATATCATTAAATCTTTAAAGAATCTAAAATAAATTTATTCTTGTTTACAGAATTCTGCTGTCCATCTTAGTCTGAAAGTTCATTTGGTTGAATTTGAGTAACTCTTTATGTGGAAAAGTAGAATTTGCCATGCTGGATCAAAGCAGTTGCTCGTCTTTGAGGTATCTCAACTTTGGCTTAAACCACAAATGAGACAAGTGTGAAACTCGACTAATGCACAAAATGTATGATAAGATTAATAAGTAAATGAACCTAAATATGTTAAACCTAAAATAGTTGTTTTGAATTAGGAACTTCTCTTTGGGTGCCTGACTGCAACTTTACACATGGTCTTTTCTCTCAGACCAGCAGATTAAACAAATCCATATTCTTCAGAGAAGGCATTAGAAAGAGATGATGGCAAAGAAAATTTGTAGTAGTAGTAATTTGCCTTGCTAGGATTTGCCTTGTGCTATTGACCTGTCATTTTTTTTAAATTAGGCTGCAGGCACATCAAAATGATCCCAAAATGAGCTTAATTTGGCTGAGTGCATCAGGAGTGTCGCTCCTCTGCAGAAACCTCCCCGCTCCTGCAGCGCGTGTCCGTCCCTGCCTAGGAGCAGAGCAGCGTTTGTGCCTCTTCAGCTGTAAGGAGAAAGGAGAGGCCCCACTGAACATCATAGAGCTGCTGTTAACTAACCCAAACCAGAGCATCAGCATATGTTCTTACGTGCTAGTTTTTAAGTACGAGGATACCAATTCAAACTTTTTCTAATTATTTTTAGTAAAAATTGGAGATGCTTCAATAGTTTTCAAACTAAACCACTTAAGGATTTTTTTCTACATGGAGAAATAGGAATAGGTAAGTTATGGTATTGTCAGGTGGTTTTGGTTTTTCCCATAACCCTCAGAATATTTTTAATTAGAATGAAACTCCCTTGAAATCAGGTTAAACTGAATGTTATGCACCCAAATTAGTGTTGGTTGCTTATGCTACTCGTGTTTTAAATTGCACTTTTTTTTTCCCTCCAACATCAGCATTTCTTTATACAGATCATCTCGAATATACCAATATGCTAATTAGATCTTTTAAAATAATACATCAAGTTCAGCATTGACTGCCTTGTTGCAGCACTTAAGTGCTGAAATGCTTCAGAACGAGGCAATGCCAAATTCACTGTGGCAAAATCACAGCAGAGGAAGCTCTTGGGGACCTGATTTCCTAGTACTGATCAGCAGCCACACCATCAGGAAAAGGCTTTTTTTCCACAGCAGCATCTCTTTTAAGGCCACACCACTTCCCACTTCAAGAGACTGAAAGGGGAAAAGATCCCAGCTGGAAGCATGGTAATAACAGTTCAAGTTGTATCCTGGCAAGAGATAAATGAGGGGAACAGAAAAGATACAAGCAAGCAAAAGTTTCTGAAAAGACCTGCTGACTTTGCTATTCTTTTATGACTATCTCTTTTCCTTGCGAGAATCTTAGAGCATAGGAGAGTAATTCTAAACCCCAGAGCCTGCAGCAGGTAACAGGGAATTTCCGCATGAGTTTGTCATTAAAATAATATAATCAAGGTCTTGATGTGGGTTCCACAAAAAGTAGGAATAGCCTATATTTTGGGATTTTACTATGATGCATTTCAGCAGAGTTTCAGTACAAAGAATAAAATTGAGATATCTGATTATAGTATTTTTAAAATATTGACACTGCCTTTCAGGATTTTAGTGACTTGATTCCCAGTACAAGTTTTGTTATACCAGCATGAGAGCCCTTACAGGTTGAATTTAATATAAGTAGCTCTTAATGTTTCCCAATAATAGTTTTGAAAAGTTTTTAATGTTGCCATCAACCTGTATTTTAACTTAGTACTTTCTGTTTAGTGCCTTTCTTCAAGTCATCTATCTCTCTTTTTTTATTATTATTATTTTGCCTCCCAGTTCTTCAAGGCAAATGCGGTTATTTTCAATAAGAACATTTTTAACAATTAGTAAAAGCAGAACCAATGCTCGTTAGTGCTGTGGACTGCTATGTGTTTTGCAATGCTGTTGTCTGGCATCCTATACAGACAACAAAAAGTTTCCATTCATCTGTACACCTCTCTTGGCTTGTTTTAGAGCACATCTTAATGGGTATTTCAAACGGAATTTTAAAATAGATTTATTTACAAGTTAACCATACTCCATAGTTCTGTGCTGTCCTTAAAACTTGATCAAGAAATTCACATGGATCCACACTGATGCCCTGGGACTTCCGTATGCAACAGGAGAGAATTGCAAAATCCTGAAATTTCACAGCCTTTGCTGTGAAACACGTTTGCTTGGTTACCTCAAAATGGGACCTGGCTGCGGGTTCTAGATGCCAATTTTCCAAACAGAACCAAGGTGTCCGTGTTCTGCACCCAGTCTGCTGCTAAGGAGCAAAGCTAAGTTCTTGTTTGTTTGGTTTTGACACGCTATTTGAACTTTTTTCATCTACTTTTTTGTGCTGTTTAGATTTTCTCTTTCCCAGTATGAAGACGTTCCTCTGGGGAAACATGCCAGGAAAGAGTAAGCCTTTTCCAGGAGAGGCTGTGTTAATGGGTGGTGGGTCGGGTGCAGCGTTGGCTACACTGACAGATACAGGTCCGGGAGAAATATTTAACTAGACATACCTAGATCTGTACCGCAGTGAGCAGCACTGCAGTTGCTCTAAATATATGGTTCAGTCACACTAAGAAAATTAATTTATTAGTGAAATCAAGATACAATTGCTTTGTGCAGACCATCTGCAAGGCCAGAATTTCAGTGTACTAAATTACAAAATGTTGCTGGCACTAATATGGGGCTGTAAACATAAAGCTCAGTGATCTGTAGACGTTAAGCTTTTGGGGGTTTAATTTATTTTGTGTATTTGCTTTCTCACATCAGATGATGAGAAGAATATGCAGCCAGGTAGCAGGGGCTTTCCAAGAAAACCAGAGAATAAGTTCCTGATGTGGAGATTTCAGATGAATTTGAACAGGAAAGGTAAGATAAGCAGGTCTTACAGGGATAATTACAATTTTATTAGTAATAATGATATCTATCTCAGTATTATTTAACCTTATAGAAGGACAAAGACACAAACTCATACCAAAAACCACTAGCAACTATTATCAGCAAATCCCGGGGGTGCTTCCCATGTTTGTGTCGTATCGCTGCTCTGTAAGCAGTGTTGGAGGTGGGAGGGAGATGGTGATTGCTGAGGGTCCTTGGGTGGTGACAGGGGAGGTCGAGACAGATGCCACTTGAGCAGCACTTGACGACCTCTTTTTTGCAGGGCGCTTTGGAGTTGGGATAAGTGGCGAGCTGATTTATTTTCTCAGGTTGAAACTTCTGGCTTTCTCTTTTCAAAAGATGTAAGTAACAACCATTGCAACTGGTTGGCAGCTCTGTCTCTTGGTGTTGCCCCAAAATGGCCTTTAGTGAGGGAGGAAAAAAACTTCCTGTCAAAAGTAACAGTAGGGAAGGGTCTTGCCCTCCCCTGGAGCCCTGGCTGCAGCTGAGCAGTGGATCTCCTCCTGCACGGATCTGCTCTAACTTCTACTTGAGTCAGGTACTGGTGCTCGTTTCTCAGCCTGTGCTACAGCCCTGTCTCAGCCTTCCCTCAAGTTTAGGTAAAATCTTCAGCTTCTTCCATCTGATATCACAGAATCACAGAATGGTTAAGGTTGGAAGGGCTCTCTAGAGATCAGCTAGTCCAATCCCTCTGCTCAGAAAGGGACACCTAGAGCACGTGGCACAGGGTGGCATCCAGGCAGGTTTAGAAGATCTCCAGACAAGGAGACTCCACCACCTCTCTGGGCAGCCTGTGCCAGGGCTCTGTCACCCTCACAGGAAAGAAGTTCTTCCTCACATGGAGATGGAACTGTCTGGGTTTCAATTTGCACCCATTACCCCTTGTCCTGTCGCTGGCCACCACCGAGAGGAGTTAGACCCCATCCTCTTTAGAATCATTCTTCCCTCGGGTATTTTTACATATCGATCCCTCTCAATCTTCTCCAGGCACATCATGTTCTTGTTAAGTCCATATAAGAAAACATGTCTTGTTGTTTTTTCTAGTACCAGGCTAACGGAGAAAGGTTAACTAAGGTTTATTTGTTATTTTGCGTTTAGTTACTTTGTCACTTGTAGTGAATTTTGGGGCTGCAGGCCCAGGCAGGGCGGACTCGCTTCGCCCTTGCGGCCCTCGCCGCCCTTCCCGTAGGGCGACCACCCCCTACAAGCCCTGAGGCACCCGAGCTGCGGGAGCC